TCATTGAAAATGAACAGGTCTGAGTTTTAATTGTGCCTTCTTAGCAAACTTTTAAAATCTGGGAATTTCCATGCAGAAGATTTGAGATTCATTTTTTCTGCACAATCAGTCACAAAAGGAATAATGTTAGAATACATTTACTCAAAGGTTTTGATGGAAACTCCCTTAATACAAAGGTGTCCAAAAATATTAGGAAGAAAACTTCAAATCATCATTTTTATTAGTTAACTCTAAAATTAAGATACAAATAGTCACATAATGTACAGATTAAGGAAAAAAACAGGAAATTAAAGCTTCCAATTACCTCTGTCTTCTGTAAAACTTTGGGAACACATTTTTCCTATGTATTTTATTTTTTTTTGGCTGTTTTTTCTAGTTTGTAATAAAAATCTTCAGGATGACATCACTCTAGTTAGCTGCTATGATATTACGAAATGTATTTTTGGTCTTCATCCTTGTTTTCAGATATACTACTCCTAATGCCTTTGGAATCTTCAAAGTGGCAATGTCCTTATGCTACTGAGTTGACTGGCAGCTACGGACTCCTGGAAAGCCTCCAGATGGGGGCTGGTTGTCAGGGGAACCAAACATGTGATTAGAGGGTTGGGAGTTTCAGCTCCACCCTCACCTTGAGACAGAGGCTGAAGGCTAAGTTGATCACCAGTGGCCAATGCTGTAATCAATCATGCCTACCTAACGAAGCGTCCATAAAAACCCAAAAGAGCTGGGTTTGGGGAGCTTCCAGACAGCTGCACACGGGGAGGTACCTGGAGGGCGGCACAGCCAGAGACAGCATGGGAGCTCCCCACCCCTTTCCCCGTACCTTGCCTTATGCATCTCTTCATTTGTGCCCTTTGTGATATATTTTATAACTGGTTAACATCAGTGTTTCCTTGAGTTCTGTGAGCCACTCTAGCAAATTAACTGAACCCAAGGGGAGGGTTACGGGAAGCCCAATGTATAGCCAGTTGGTCAGAAGCACAGGTAAAACCACCTGGGGCTTGCGACTGGCATAGGAAGTAGGAGGCAGTCTTGCAAGACTGAGCCCTCAACCTGTACGATCTAAAGCCATCTCCAGGCAGGCAGTGTGGGAATGGAACTGGAGGGCACCCAGCTGGTATCTGCTATAGAACTAATTGCTTGCTTATGTGTGAGGTTTCCATACAACTGGTGTCAGAAGCGTGTGGTGAGAGTATAGTAGGAGAAACTGAGTTTGGTATTTCCGCTGTACCCACAGAGACGTCATGGATTTATGTTTTGTAAACAATTATGCTTACAGATTTAAAGCACAGTTACTATTTTCAGTTATATTTCCTAATTTTTTTCCCCAGCATCTTTCCCATTCTGATTAATGCCTAAAATAGGCAACTTTGGAATCTCAGCATTTCATCTGAGAATTACTCAAGAATTTCTAAAGGCCATATACAAAAGCTCGCTACAAGTGGAGCGAAGCCAAACCAACGTAAACACTCAGTGCCCTTGACACAAAGTCACATCGACTGATGGAGCAAGCCTGGGAACTACAGGCATGAGATGATAGGTTGGGGAAACATCCCCTAATAGTCTGAAACTCCAGTTCACCGGAGCTTTACACAGTACTGAAAGCAGCAACATTTCCAAGGTACTTCTAAGGTCACTTGTTTCTATCCTTGAGAGGATATATTTTTAGTTTTTCTCTTCTAATTATGAGTGATTACCGCTAAAAAAATTATTTCCCTTTTAAGTCAAGGTCTGCTCTTAGCATATGTGTTGTCCAGAAAAACAAGTTTTAATGCTAAATGACATTTTCCCCTAAATTAAACAATTGCAGGAAGTACAAACACAGAGTGCATAATTCAAAAGCTACAACAGAAGTAGAAAAAAGTTAAGCCTCTCTTCTATTTGGGTTCACCAGTTGCCCAGTTCTTCCCCAGAGGTATCCAAGGTATTTTTTCCCTTTTCTTCTTCCAGAGACACTCATTGCCAAATGGTGTGTTTGATTCTGTGATTCTAAGCGTCCTCACCACTGATGGAAAGCCCTCCCCCAACGCTCCAACTCCCAACCTTTCTCAAGATTTTCTCTCTGCTGTGTCTCACTATACACTGACATACATTTATGGGACTATAAATATTGCACAATTATAAAACTTTATGAATGTTAATTAAAATAAGGGCAAAATCAAAGCACTATAACCATATATGTATTATGTATGTGTGTGTGTATTTCTGAAAAGCTGTATTGTACGTGGTGTTATAATTACTTTAATGGCTAGTGGAACTTAAAAGTGAGTTTTGATGCTATATTAATAGCCCCTTAAAGCTTTATATTTGTTCACGGTTTTGATTGAGATCTCAATCAAAATTTCATAAAATAGAAATTTTAAAACAGGAAAATTACCACTAGCCAAAAAAATGTAATTGTTAAAATGAACTAATCTAGATGAGGCTCTACTGTATTTTCTCAAATGGGTTGCCAACCAGCGCTTATTTTCTAACATGCCACATTTTAAAAACAACTAATAATTATAATTACAAGTCACTACTTCTCTCTGATTTCCCTCTCTGCATCTTGGCAACTCCAAAAAAGTGACGCACAGCCAGCATTTTAAATTAGCTGTGACACCAAGTAATTATGCTGAGATAAGGTCAAGCACATTATTTCATGATGATCTTTCAAGGTTGACCAGAATGTGATATGACTATCACTAAATACAGCACCAGAACTAGAATTCTTTCTTGAATTAAAAAGAGACAAATCACACATGGATGTCATCATAAACATTCACAAGTTGTGGTTCCTCCCCTCTTTCCATTTAGCTCTGGTGTTTGAAACCAAATGAAACGAGCTTTCTGATGGTTACTGCTTTCCCACAGTTAACAATAAATAACACAGTCACATCTAAGAGCAACTTACCAGGCACTCTAATAACCGAGCAGGGCGGGCAATAACAATTAGGATCTTTCGGACTAGTTGTTTAATAAATGCCAGCTCTCCACTTTCTGAACGATCATGAGCCTATGAAAAGGCAATGAAAAGAATGATGATACAGAGTTGCTCCAGTAATGGAAAAAAAAATCAGCAAAGCATGCTAATTAGATAATTGCAAATATTAAAAAATTGAGTGATTCAGAAAATACTCTTAAAAGATTGATAAATAGGCATTATCTGTACGTAAATGGACACTATTAAATGTCTATATCTACAGAAGAGCTCTATTAGTTAAACCTTAATTGCAAAACTTTGATTTATTATC